TGACATCAGCTTGTTCTTTTTGTTTGTCCAGTCTATTATCCGTTGTGTCATGTACATGTCTTTATACATTTAATGGAGTAGCGAGAAACTAGATCATCTGTTTCTGATCAGTAGTTTAGCTGACATCAGCAAGCCGATCGGCTATTTCTTCTCCACCAAGCTCAGAACAGACCGAAAGCGTTAAAAATGTGCGGGTGAGTGAGGCAGTTCATGTAAAATGTAAAAAAAGCCAGTAGAGGCATGAGCAGCGTTGATTAGGCAAACTCGACCGCAGGAAGCAAAAGGCTTAACTCCTAGGCGTTCTAGCACAAACACTGCGCAAAAATGTCAGCAATGACACGTTTGGCACGTTCAGTTTGGCCATCGGTCTGCAGATGATCCGCTGTAGACATGTCCAACCTGGTTCCCAGCACATTTAAGATGAAGGTACAACTTGTCGGTGAAACGTGGATCCCGATCAGGGACAATTTCACAGGCAAAGCGTGTTGACAAAACGCACGGTCGATAAATATATACTGGTGGTGCCTTCACCATCGTTGGAAAAAGGCACAGAGTAAATTGAGCCATCTTGCTCAAACGGTCAACAGAGACTACAATACCAGTGTTGCCTTCCTATTCTTCGGGTGGGCCGAACACAAAGTCCACACTGGTAGACCGTTAACATTCAGTTGGTACAGGTAAACTAGCAAGCGGTGCAACCGCGTGTGCTGAGGGTTTGATCCGTTGACACATTTCAAACGTACGCACAAATGTGCTCGCACAAATGTGCTCACCCATCTATACAACTTGGGCCGCCAATACGTCTGGCTGACTGAGCTATAGATCATCTCACGACCGAGATGACGGCACAAAGCAGTATCATGTTCTTCAAAAATGATACGATACTTTAAGTCCTCATCATGAGGAACAACGATGCGAGGCACATCCTCAACTCCCGAGCAATATCACAACAACCCGTTGTCGATGACATATCAATGTCGGCTCGCACGTAAACGTGCTGACAATTTAATATACGTTTCTTAAATTTCCTCGCTTTCAAGAGAATGTAGCAATGCTACACTTTGCTCATCACGTGCATATATCGCACGAATCAAATTCACAATTGACACTAAAGAATAGTACTATGAGCAAGCTTATAATCAGGTCTGCGTGACAATGCATAAGCAAAAGTATTTTGCTTGGCTGGCTTATACTTCACCTCGAAGTTGTATTCAGCAAATACTGAAAGTCAACTCGCCATACGCGGTGAGAGATGAGGCGACTGTGTCGCAGTTCGTAACGACGCATGATCTGTGAAGGTCACTAAATGCTTTGATCCAAGTAGATGGACTCTAGACTTAGCAAGAGCATTTTTCATTACGAGTAAAACTTTGTCGAAATCTATAAAAACAAATCTGCAGCTTTTAGATGAAGAGATTCATACTCAATGACGCGCTCACGTCCATCGACATCTGCCTGCAATAATGCACAATCAAATCAAAATCAGACGCATCACAGGCGACACTAAAAGGCCGCTCAAGGTCGGTGTAAAGCCAAAATTGGAGCATGAAGGAGGCTATTCTTTGTATTTATTTATATTAAAAAACCAACGTTTTTATGGTTTTATTTTATTTTAGTTGGTTTGGTTTGTAAATTAGGTGCAGCTCCTTTTCATAGCTTTAAAATCTCAGGCATATTCTGCGTACCTTCATTAACAGCATCCTTCTTGAGGAGGTTGTTTAATGGCCTTGCCATGTCAGCGTAGTTTGCACTGTACTTGTGCAAGTAACTAGCAAGGCCGAGCCATTAACGTAAGTCTTTTTGGCTAGGCGGAACCGGCCAGTCAATAGTTGACTCTACCTAAGCGGAATACGCTCGAAGGCCACGCCTCCCAATGAAGCACCCGAGAAAGGGAATTTTGTCTGCATCCCCATAAATGCATTTCGATGCTTTTGCATAGAGCTTGTCCATGCGCATGCACTCGAGCACTGCTCGTATATGGTCATTGTAATTTTCCACGTCTGATCTGTCAGGGTTCGCAGAGCTATGGACAGAGTCGTCGTCAAAATATCTTTTTGCATATCCTTGATGAGTTTGGAACAATTGCGTCACAAGACAATTTAATGTAGCCAGAGCATTAGACAGCCGTTGAGGCATGACAAGCCAATGCTAAAACATATCGTATGGAGTACTTACTGCTGTGAGCGGAATATCACTCGCTCGCATGAACAATTGATAAAAACATCTACCAAGTCGAGTGCACTGAATACTGTACATGCCACAAACTTGTTTTGAAGAACATCCTTTTGGAGGACTACAGTCTGAGCCGGGATAATGGTAGCTTTAGGTCTATTCTAAGCATGCACAATGCGCCACTTGCCATTTGGCTTTCTGACACAACGTGTCGGTGTTGATTAAAGCGACATTCTTTCAGGCACCATGCCAGCCGCGTGCTTCGCATGAAAAAACTTATTAATGACGCCACACTGATCCTTTGGTTAGAGGCCATTGCCGTGTCAAACCGCATTTGGTTTCAGGAACCAGGTCAATGGATGGCATACGCCTCAATCAGGAGGCAGCGTGGAAGGTGGATCGCGACACACTACATCCTGAAACTCTTTTACCAAAGAGAAAAACGGGTATCTAGTATATCTCAAGATCGTATCCCGCTTCAAGCACCTCGTGCCGTCTTTGTGTCTTCCAAGACAGCCTCGTCAAGAAGGGAAGATGAGTTTAATTCACTATCGGATCTAATGACCACCACTTCAGATAAGTCACCCGACTTCAAGGTCAGACCAAACTCATCGAAAGACCTTTCGTCTAGATCTAACAGAGTATTCAGTGAGGGTAGAGTCTCAAGACTCACTGACCCCTCAACGTCACCAGTCGATCCATTGACGATTGTATAAAGCAATTCGCTAGTATCACATAGTGACGTAACGGACGCCTCGCGCTGCAAAACATCACTCTGCTGTCGCTGTCGTCTCTATGACGAGACTAAAGTCTTAAAGAGACTGGAACTTTCTCGTTCCCAAGGTCGACATCATCATTTTTCTTAACATGATCATAACCAGAGCCGGTGTCATTACCGACATTCGGGGCTGTACCGCCCCCAAGGTGAAGGACTGTGTCAGCCTAAATTCGCCCATAGCACGAACAATGTCATTGCCTGCATCTGGGACTACACTGTCCCCAAGGTGACGAACTAAGTCAACCTTAATATGATCTTTACCGGAACCGATGTCATTACCCACATCTGATGATGAGTCACTTTCAGCGATATCACCACCCAGTGGGTATTAAGTGCCACCCCACGCTCATCAAATGGGCGTCGCCCTTGATGACTTAGTATTTCCATACAAATGTCTTGACTGAAATTTAGCATGTCGCAATCACTTTTAACATCACTCAGTGGGTACTTGCGTTCCACCCTACGCTCATCAGATGGGTCCCACCCATGATAAATTGGCTCTAGGCCAACAATGCATTCAGCATTCAGAGATTCGTTATCACAACGATTACCACTCGACGGAGTACGTGCCGTTTTACTAACAGTCATTGAGGTTGGCTCGTAACTAGCGTTTTTGACATCTTCCAACTCAACGATTTTGGCCATACCGATGTCCAGCACACTGACTGTCTCAGTCCGTATCTCGCGCCGGTAGCGTTTCTGTCTTATAGCAGAGGTGGTCTCATGACTCTCCAAAGATCCACTAGGAACAGTGCGCGTTGCACCTAAGGTATTTGACCTCCGATAAATCCATGGCTCATGGCGTTTTAGCCAAGCCTTGTCGAGGATGAGATCATATTTCTCATCCAAGTCAAGGACTAGACAGCGTTCGATACTGTCAAAGTCCAAAAAATTCACGCCTAAGCTTACAGGAACTTTAGGAATAGTGGCTAATGCATCTGTCGCCAAGAGAGCAGTGATAGTCTCATTCTTTCGCGCTTTCAGCGCCTCAGCATACTGCTGACTACCTTCCAGGGAACAACGTCGGACGCAATTTCCCGACACCTCGAACTCGACCAATATTGAACATGGCTTATCAAAGTCGTTTACTATTGCTACTACATCTAACTCGCCTTGCTTGTACACATGCTTCGTGACAATGTGTGCGAAGTCACTTGTGGATAGGCCCTGTTCTCCATCATCTCCCAGAGATACAACAGAGCCTAAATGCTCCCCAGCAGGCCACCCTTCGCCTAATGGAACTCGATGTTTTCCCGCGCTTTACCGAATCGTTGGTTATAGACGGGAGGTCGACTCAAATGAGCCTTTCTGTTCCTTCTTAAAGGACAATTGGGACGAACACGTTTGATGCTACCGCACGTAAAACATCTACGGATGTTCGAAAGCTGTTCGACAGGGTAGAGATCAGCTTCTTCGTCTCTCTCAACGAGACTATTATTCATGGGTTCTGCACCTATCATGAGATGAGCATTGCTCGATGAGTTTGCCTGAAACTAATGGGTCCCGTAAAGGTCAGCTTTACAGTTGACTCTGCGTTCAAAGCTATGTCCACTACACCCTCAAATTTCAAGGGTTGTATACGAAACACTTTTGTCCTGGCAACGCCAGTGCAAAGACCTTCCATAAAAATGGTTACCAAAAACTGTCTCAGTTAAAGGGTCAAGTTGCATAGCAGCAATTATAGTTCGCAAATCTTGGACATAATCGATGAAGTCCTTTTTACCCTGGCGGGTTGACAGGAAGCTTGATCGCACGCGATGTGCCTGATTAGGCGGAGTAAAAACCCGAAATAGCTGTTGATTTAGCATATCTTAAGTGGGAAAAGACTCTTCTATCGAGGTGCCAGAAGTGAAGGCCCATTCCCTGGATCGCCGACCTAACTTTGATAATACAAGGCCCACCTTCTGCTGCTCTTACCGCAGCAAGGCCGAAATGATGGTAATCTCCATCTCGCGAACCCAAAACAGGAGATTTCTCTTTCTTTTCCCTCAAAAGTCTTGATACTTAAGACTAGAAAACGAGTCCTTGACTCAGTGTCCGGTATGAGAACTTACCGAATGGGCATGGCAGATGCTGAATGGTTATAAACCTGTCCGATCGACGTGGACTCAAAGTTCGAGAAGGTCTCGAGACGTGCACGAATTGCGTCCGGGCCTTGCGACACTTTAAGAGCCACTTGCTTGTGCCCTATCAAATCTGTGGGCTTCTCAAGCGTGATTGGCTGGGCCTCAGAGAGGTTCACGGCCGTCTCCATCCTCACAGAGGATTCAGTCTGTGAAGACTCAGGTGTAGATTTTCCACAAGCGCTGCCAAGTGTAGCGGAGCTACTAAGTGCTTTTTAACAGAGGAAGTCCTGGTCACAAAAAGTCTCTTAGTTATAACAAACTAAAATGGACGTACAGCTGCTTAAGCGTACAATCTTAGCAAAGGGATTAAGATTCCCAGAAGTACACACCAACTAGTCACTATTAGTTAGACAAGAGTAAATGCCTTTACAAGGCTAGTGCTCTTAACAATTCACTACACCTATACTAGGCACTGGCGTCCAACATTTTGAAAGGGGAACTGAACTTAGTCTTTCTTTTAGCTACGGTAATAAAGCCCTTAAACCATGCCTGACTGATTTCTACAATACGATCTTATGACAAAAGTCTTATCCCTTATCCTTCCCCAATAAGGTGCGGTATTACCGTAAGTACCTGGTACGAAGACTGTACCACTCAGATCCACCAATCGTTACTTGGTGTGGATACACTACAAAACCGGGTCGAACAACCGCGTGCAACCCCGTTACATATCCCTTATCCTTACCTGATAAGGTGCAGTATAGTCGTGAGTACGTGGAATCAAAACTGTACCACTCATTTCCACCAGCCATAACTTGGTGTGGACACACAACATAACCAGTTCGATGACCGCGTGTGACCCGGTCACAATGCATAAGACACGGCCATGCAAGGCGTCTCTGATCGTAGATCGTTAAAAGTTAGCAACACCTCCCTGAGATAGCTAATCTTGAGCACTAAGTGCTGTAGATTCATTGAATCGTTCGGTATCTTGGAACAGAAATCTTAATCTTTACAATTTGATCTAGTTTTCTAGTGCTTGTAACGAGGCATACCTTATTCAGTTAAATGAACAAAGCTTGCACTCTTACAGTACAAGGCTGTGTGCGTCCGACTACCTCACGTACACGAACTTGCAGAGGAAGATTGCTACACCGAGTAAGAATACTCAGTAGAGGTGAAAAGTAGAACTATGATAAGTTTAAGTAATCCTTTCAATAGATCTCTATTTGACTTCATTAAACTATGAATGAATACAAAATTATGTATTGTATCCATCTACACACCACTCATTGCGTGCTTCTGTCGTGGCTAGACTGTATTGGTTCAATTCTCGATCCTATCTCAACCAATGAGCAGTGTGTTACATTTGCGAAGCAATATTATCTAGTATGATAATATTGTGAAAATGTTGTGTTTGTCCTACCATAATATTCATACTTGATAATTACGCAATGTAATTATCATGAAACGGAGGCACCCCGTTACAGAACCAATATCGCTCTCTAAGCGCTAAGTCTTCCTCTGACTTGCGGATCTGCGTAGCTCCGCTTTAAAAGACGTCTCAGAAAGACACGTGTCTGAAACTGATCAAATGAGTCTTCATCGCAGTTCTTGCTCACCACCACACCAGATCTACGTCGACTTTATGAAGACCCTATTGCGACAGATGCGATCAAACTTTTACCGGTAGAGTACAGTATTACCGCTCACCGTATGTGATACAACAGTAAGCCTATCAGTAAACTGATCACTTTATGTGCACATCACACCTATGTACGTTGTTATCACAACCATTTGTGTAACCCTGTTCTATACTCCCTCCTCCACTCATACCGGGGTAGAGGAAGGTGTCACGATCAGACTCAAGTAATTTTCACACCGACTGATCTGCCCCCATCGGACGATTCACAAGCGATGAGCGGTCTATTGTGCTGCTGCGGCATAGGACATATCTCGTCTGAATCGTTGGTCACGTATGCAATTCGCTCACTCATCGTTTAGCGCCCCATTGCACTTTGTTCCGTCCTCCTCGCCATCTTCCAAGTAGATTCATGCGACCTCTATACCTCTTCGCGCTCTGCATGATTGGTATGCCGCTAGTCTGCGCTGATCTGACCTCTGCGTTCAGACAGCCAGAGGTCACGACTCCTGGTGATCGCGCACTCGAGCACGAGAGTCCGCTGGCGACTCATTCGACAAACGGGATTGAATCAGAAGACCGGGCAAACACGTCCGGGTTTGTCGGCAAGCTGGCTGATACGTTCAAGTCAATCATGGCCAAGATTGATGCCATCCTCGCTTACCTTTTTACGTCGGGAAAGACCAAGGAGCGCATGGACAACTTGTCGCGGACGATCAATGCCAAGCTCAAGAAAAGGCTACAACCATCCGACAACGATTACATGATCGACATTCGCCACAAGAAAGGATTGAATAAGCTGTTCTCCGAGACAGGTCATATCACTTTCTTCGACGAGCACATGAGATTCCTGGAACACTACCCTACCTCTACGCTGTACGATTTTCTTCGAGATCTCATGCAAGAGGATGAGTTGGCATTCTTGATCCTGCACGCAGAAGGATCCCATGCAAATGTAGGGGAGATCCGAACGTACCAATTCAGTCAGTGGAGTCGGTATCCTGACAACACCCCTAAAAAACTTGTACAGCGATTGCTGCTTTCGTTGCCCAAAGGAGACGTGAAAAGGATCGTAGGCAGTTACGATAAGCACATTGAAAAGAATGGGTATCTGCATCGTTTAGTGTAGTCTTCACGTAACGAAAAGAGTGCTGCTTCGTTTCCATTGTGTTCCGTGTTTACTTTTCTTGCTTCGGTTTCTGCGGGTCCCACCCAGTCCAGAGAATTAGGCGACCATCGTAAAACTAGTCAGATGACAGTGCTACAGCGATCGTAATTTGCTTACACAGTGGTGACGCATAGGTACACAGCGCGTTTTTGTAAGGCGAGCTCTTAAGTGCACACCCCGTTTGCCGAAGCCATTTTCTCGCGGTATTTTAGTTTCCTGCCCATCACTTCCCCACCACCACCTATTAACACACTTCCATCTTGTCTATCACTAATTCGGTCACAAGTGTAAGATATATGTTGCGTTCCTTTGAATTGATCGAGCGTCGTGTTGAAAGTACTTCTTTTTCTGTACGAGGTTCAAGGTCAAGTAGCAGCTGGTGCAGCACTCACACGTCGTGACGGTCTCCACATCCAACGAACGTAAAGCTTAAAGTTGCTCCCACGGCTTCCAAGCACTAGCCAGACGCGTATTTCTTCATTGGCACACCTTCGATCAGAAAGTGTACTTGGTATTAGTGCGTCGACAGTCTACTGTGAAAACTCTTTATTATTGTAGTTGCTAGTACGCATGAACATGGCCACTTCGGAACGACGCTTCGAATGCAAATGTTACGTTTCGATTGTTTGCGAGATTGAGCATTCCTTATCTGTTGACGAGTAGAAAGAGTTTCACAGCTTGTCCTTGACGTAACTCGCTTGTTTGTAGATAAGCAGAAACCAACTGTAGAAGAGCTCATGCTGGACAGACATCAAGCTTTGTAGGAATGAACGCATCGATGCGGTCTTGAGATTGATGCCAGTAGCTGCTTTGTTCTCAATTTCGTTTGCGCGCTCCCACATCTTGACTGACGACATGTCAAGCAGTATGGAATCAAATTAGCCCAGCCGGGTGGCCGGGGGCTCTCCATGATAGGGGCTTGCCAATTTAGTAAAATATGATGAGCAGTAAGTGACATTTAGTGATATGAAAGGAATGACATGAGGACGAACACGTGCGGTAATTGTAGTGTAGGATGGCGATGTCTTAGGTATGTTGGCACCATAGCTTGTTGAGCAATTCTTGGCTGCTGACACCCGCTGGTATTAATCTCGATGAAGACGTGGCCATCCAAACGCTTTAATTTCGTCAATGTGTCCGTGCCCCAGTCAAAAGCGCCAATACACCGATCAAATACGCCTTTGTACCGAACACTGACCATTTTCAATCGACAACGTATGGACACCGCATTAAGTGGAACTCCGTGCTTGTCTCTTGCAAACATTGGTCTAGCCCAGGAATCGGAACCTTTGCATGATGTAAATACGGCAACACCTGGACAGTTTTGACCAAGCATACAAAGTGAAGTGTTGACGCCCATTAGATAGTACCCATCGATCTACACACAGTCGGAGTCCACTGGATCCATGTATACTGCCTCACAAATCGGCGTCCATGTTAGTTCCAGTAGATTCCTTAGACCGATATAGTTGAGACGAAAGTATTTATTAGCAAACGAAGATTGTCTGGTAGGGAACGTCCGCAGCATCGCGTACCCCGTTCAAGTGCTCAAAGACACAAGAACCATGTACTCAAGTCGATACAATGTGAGTGATACGTTCAGCAACCAAGTACATTCCATGCCAATGCAGCTCTAGTCCTTGTATTTCATGTCGTCTTCGCTAAAGCCAATAGTGGGGAATTTGCGGACGAACGCAGTCACATCGCGCTTGAGCACGTCCATCTTTTCTTTCGCCTCGGCATCATCCACGACAAACTCCTTAAAGTCCTTCACTTTTTTCACGCCCTGAGCGCGAGCACGCTCATTCAGCTCTGCCGTGAGCGTCACCCCTTCATCAAGGAAGGCAGCTACCTGCTGGAAATCTTCCTCCGTGCAGCCGCGTGTAGTCAGTGCAGGCGCACCCAGGCGAATGCCACCTGGAACAAACGCACTCTTGTCACCAGGCACCGTGTTCTTGTTCACAACCATGTTGGTGCTCTCAAGCACGAACTCAACGCGAGCGCCATCCACATTGCGTGACTTCTTCACATCCACTAGAGCCAAGTGGTTATCCGTGCCATTCGAGACGATCACGTAGCCACGCTTCGTCAGCTCTGCCACGAGTGCGCGGGAGTTCGCAAGCACTTGCGACTGGTACGACTTGAACTCGGGGCTTTGAGCTTGCAGCAAGGCCGTGCTCAATGCAGCAATCGTGTGGTTATGCGGCCCACCCTGAAGACCCGGAAACACAGCAAAGTCAATCTTCTGCTGCAAGTCGTACATGACGTCCTTCCCGCTCTTCTTGTCTACGTGATGCAGACCCTTCCGGTAAAAGATCATGGCGCCGCGCGGGCCGCGAAGTGACTTGTGGGTCGTTGTGGTCACCACGTCCGCGTATTTGAATGGCGTGGGCACGACTCCAGCCGCTACCAAGCCGCTAATGTGCGCTATGTCGGCAAGCAGCACGGCTTCCTGCTGGTCACAGATCTCACGCATACGCGCGTAATCAATGTGACGCGAGTACGCGCTGGTGCCTGCAATAATCAGCTTGGGTCTGAATAGCGCGGCCGTCTCCTCGAGACCGTCGTAGTCAATGAGACCCGTGCTTTCGTCCAGACGGTATGGCATGCTCTCAAAGTAAATGGACGTGGCCGAGATCTTCTTCCGGCCAAGCTGGTAGCCGTGCGACAAGTGGCCACCGTGCGGCAAATCCAGTGCCATGATACGGTCGTGTGGATTCAACAGAGCCGTGTACACTTGGAAGTTCGCGGGCGAGCCGGACAGCGACTGGACATTGACTCCCCACTGCTCGGGGTCCAGATTGAAAGCCTCAAGTGCACGAGCACGGCAGAGCTCCTCGGCTTGGTCGATGATCTGGTTCCCACCATAGTATCGCTGGCCTGGATACCCTTCCGAGTACTTGTTCGACATGACTGAGCCCAGCGCATCCAGCACTGCCACCGACGTACAGTTCTCCGACGCAATGAGGCTGATGCAGTTCCGCTGGCGCTGTTTCTCGCGCTCAATGATGTCAAATAGCGCAGGGTCTGTGTCTGCTAGCGGTTTGTTCAAGGCGGCGGCCCACTGCAGACTCTCGGCCGAGGCATGGCGACGCGACCGAATTGCGGCGCGACGGACAGGGGCACGGAGACAATTGATCATCGGTTGTGGTCTACGGAGCAACTGAACGAATGAATGGCGCAGACGACATTGAAGATCATTGAGCAGCTCAGCAGATTTGGTACAGAGCCTGGACTGAAGTAGTACGAAGAGAAAACGGACGCTGGCATAAACGGGCGCTCGATGAACTTACTTGGAAAAAGAATGTCACGTCGGACAACTTGGACCTTTCTTGTGCTTTCCCGACCAATTGGTATGGACGTATAGTCAGTTAAAACGTGTTTGGATGCCCAGGACTTGCGTGCGATTACGCGTTAGAGTTGCACGGCGTGACTTGGCTGATATGGCCGCCTTCTTGCAGTTACTTCAATCGGCAGTGCCCCGCACAATTTTATACACGTCGATTCCGTCTGTGGAATACTTGGGATGCAACTTTGTCACTGGGACACGCGTCTTGACGAGGTTATAGCGCCCGAGTTCACTACAAAGCAGACGGTCCGACATCACGCTGCGCTTCTGGTACGACATGAGGATCTCCGTCTGCACGGATGAATGACGTAGCAGTGTGTCAAAGGTCGCCACGAGCGGCGGAATGAGCTCCTCGACCCACACGACGTCCGATGCCAGCAAAAAGTCAATGTCCCCCAAATCCGTCGGCGGGTCGAACCAGTCCAGAACGCGAGTCGAGACGTCGCTCTTGACTATTCGACCAGCACTAGCCGCTAGCTTCATCGTATCGGCCACGTTCTTTGCGAGATTGTCGATTGCGTAGTCCAAATCCGACAGAATCACCTGTTGAGCTCCTAGCAGCGCAGCCGCAATCCCCACGAGTCCTGTTCCGGCACCCAACTCAACCAGTCGACTACCAGCAATCTCTTCACGACGTTGGTGTTCCAGATACTTTGCGAGCACCACAGATCCGTCCCACAACGTCAGCCCCGTGCCTTTGCCCGAGTTCCCCACTTCTTCAATCTGCACGACTTGTCCATCAATTGCAAACTCCCCACCTGCAGCTACATCGACCCCAAAGATCCTCGATGGTAGTGCGAGACACGTGCGGTTCGGAAAGAGCGCGTCCACGTTTGTAAGTGTCACACTTAGCCTAGAGCAGCGTCCGAGTTGCGATAGTTCCTCAAGCGGCGTATACTGCTGCTTTTTCCGATTATAAACCTCAATCGTCAGGGCTAAACCTGTCGCTAGTTCTTGTTGAGTCGCGAGACTGTCTTTTAATCGCTCTGTCAAATGTTTCTGAAGTACCTCTTGGAGCTCATCGAGCGAAACTGGGTAATGTGCCAATTGCACCCGCAAAGTGCCGTGAAGAGGCTCCGGTAGCCCGATTTGTTGCTGCAGTTCTACATGCAGCTGCAGTGGGGTAGATGTTGATGCCATCGTGAGGGAAATGAGGACGAGCGACAGCGTCAAGTGGCGCAGTATCTTCGACCCACGTGCCATGACACTTTGGCACACAAATGTCACACTACTCCGCTTGCGCCTCAAGAAGAATATTCTACATTAGAATCTCCACACACCCTTCAACGTCAGAATATTCTACATTAGAACCTCCACACACCCTTCATCGTCAGCTGCCAATCAACAACAGCTCACATGCTTCGGCGGTTTCAGCGATATCGTTGACAACGTATCCGATCACGGCTACCACAAAGTTACCCGCTAAAAGTCCCCCATCTCAATCTCACCGGGTCTACTACAAGTACAAGACGAATGACGAAAGGTGTCCACTTGCTCTGCAATAGAACAAGTGCTTTTTTTCTCTCGCAGGGTGCCCAAATACTATCAGCACGCGACTTCGCAGAATGCATGGCATCTCAGCATTGCAATCATACGGCACTTCGGCTATAGTAGACACAGAATGTACAGCGCTGCAGCGACCACCAAACGCACGCGTGACGCGAAACCTCGGCCTGTGAACTCCAGGATCAACCCGGACTTCCCGAAGCGCTCGAAGGTATGAAAAGCGTGGCGCAGTAGCACTGCAAATGTTTGCTTGAGCACGTCCAAGTGAGCCAAGCAATCGGCAGCAACTTTGGCAAGCTGCTCATTTAAATATGGAGCCGAAACCCCACCATTTCTAGCTTGAACATGTAGCACTTGGATGGTATATCTCGGTAGTCCCGCTCAACAGCCTTCCCCATGTCGGCCTACAAACCTGCAAACTTCGCCCAACCCGGTGCGCTCTCACAAAGCGCGCGAATCAGTGCGTGCCGTTTCTCCGAATCCTGCAGCAGACGCGCGAGGTCTGGCACCAGACGCCCGACGAAGTCAGGTTCGAAAGATTCCATTAAATATTGGTAAAACTCGTGGGCCGTGATCTGCTCGTTACCGTACTTCCGAGTATGTGACGTGAATGTCTTCATCTTCTTCGCATCACCACCGAACGCTGCTAGCACGGCTTCTAAGATCGATCGGTGCAACAATTGTGCCTCCTCTCCCACTACAGGCTCAACATCCTTGATCGGGAGAGTGCCCACCTTGCTGCGCCTGCGACCTGCCGAAGAAGAACCTGCTCTCTCGCGCCCTGCGGATGGTGGAGACACTAAAGAGCTACGTTTCTGCTTTTTCGACTCTTTTTCTTTCTTTGCTTGCTGTTTAAAGCGTGCAAACGCCTCCAACAACGCATTGCGCTTCCCCTCGTCAGAAAGTAGCTTAGCGCTGTTCGGAATTATTTTGCTCGCACATTTCAATCCAACACACTGTCGCACCTGATCACAGAATTCATCGGCGGACAATTCGTCCATACCAAACTTTCGCGAGATGCTCTTGAATTGCTCGATCGCTGCATCTCCATTGCCAAACGAATGCTTTTCAGCCCACGAATTTATGATGGACACAATATCAGCATAGATCGCCTTAGTCTCTAGCGAGTTTTCTTGTCGCTCCTCTTCTTGCCGACGACTTTCCTCAGCCTCCCGTTGTCGTCGCTCAATCTTTTCGGCCTCCGCGGTAGCGCGCGCAGCAGCAGCCTCCTCATAGATAGCTAAGAATTCCTTCGTCTGGTTCTGGCGATAGGCCTTTTTAAACTCGCTCACGAATTCGTCCAAAATAGTAAAAAATTCCATTGGACCAACTTTCCGTGGATCTTCGCCGAAAGAGCTCACAAGATCTTGGTAGGAAGTCTCTAGACCATTGAAATCACGACCCAGCTCCTCGAGCACCTCGGCTGCGTCCTTCGCAAATGGAGTCATGACCTCGAAAAACTTGTCGCCGTCGATGTGATCATTCTTAGAAGCACGCACTTGTCCCTTCAACATTGCTAGCTCGGTGTTGTAAGAAGACAAATCGGCACGCAGTTGATCCAAAGATAGTCTCTTGGCCTCTACAATATGAGGAACTTCTCCGGCAAACGTGATGATGTCCGGAGCCTTCTCTTCTAGCTGACGCAACAAAAAGTGCATCAGAGTTATTCGAGGATCGACCGACTTCAGCGTGTGCAGTTTTGTAAGAGTGTCTAGCTTGAAACCGTAAGCACCACCACGAGGCGTGCTACCATTCAAGTAGTTACCGATGGCTAAAATGTGTTCCAGGACACGACGGAACTTGTCGCTCTCGGCTACTTGGTCCGTAGCGGCAACCAGTGTGTCCAACTGCGCCTGTGTTTCCAAGATGCGACTTTCAAACTGCACCTTGTACCTGAAACACTTGATACGTTGCGTGTACCGGGGGATGGTCAAAAGATCGAGGAAAAAATTCTCCACATTTCCGAGAAGCGTCGCATCTCCGTCGTAATTCTTAAGCATGTCAATTTCTTCTAAAGTGGGCGAGATAGATATCAAGACATTCAGCACTTCAGACCCCAACTTCTCGCCATCCAAAGCGTAGATTGCGCGTTTGATATCCTCAGATGAGAGCTTGAATCGAGCAATTGCGATCGACACGTTTTGCTGTCTTTTCGGGTCAAAAAGAAGCACTTCTTTTGGCTGGGTTAGCGCTTTCTCGATTTCCTTTTTCTTGTCTTCCTGCTTTTTAGATGCATCGGCCGGGTTCTTGCGAAACATCCACTCCATCTCGTCCACATCCAGCTTGGCATGCGAATCGTTTAGCTTCATCCACACCGTGCTACTGACAACATTGATGGGCACACGGGTCCAGAACAGTGGACGTAACTCGACGTTCGGCTTCACGGTTTCTTTTTTTGGAAGCTTGGACTCCTCAGTTTTTTCACTCGCAGTCAACTTGGAGGCCAAACTCTTTTTCAATGCCGAAGGATCAACTTTCACAGCCTCCGTTGGAGGAGGAAGACCGGCAAGGAGGCCACCGCCGCTACTTCTCCTAGGCATATTCTGGCTAGGAGATGGTGCATCAGGCGTGTCGAGCAAGTCTGCGTCCACGCCCGCGGCCTTCATCCTCACTTTCACTTGCTCAGCGGGCATCCCCATCGTTACCAATTTGAAATACTTCTCATAAAGTGGATCTTCCTTCACAGTCATTGTCTGGTCAAAAGCTGCAGCTGGCGTAGTAGTGCCACCGGACCCATGCATTGGTGCATCCGGCGTATCAAGAAGGTCAGGATACAGACCACCTGATACCATCTTCAGCTTGACTTGCTCAGCAGGCATCCCCATCTTCAAGAGCTTAAAAAACTTAGCGTACTGCTCATCGTCCTTGACGAGGTCCCCACTAGATCTTGCAGCCACAGCAGGAGCGTCTTTTGCGCCCTGAACAGCACCTCCGATGATAGCATCCGGCTTATCAAGAACCGACGGGTCGGCGCCTGACGCCAGCATTTTTATCTTCACCTGTTCTGCCGGTAGTCCCATTGCGAGCAGCTTGAAAAACTTCACATAATCGGGGTGGTCTTTCGCAAAGACTCCGACTCCATTTCTAACTAGCGCTGCTTCTGCTACACTATTAGATGCATCCTGAGGTGCTATTGTCGGCAAACTTCCATCGCTTGTGCATGCTCTCGCGGCTGCTGCAGCAGCTGCGGTGGCTTCTGACATTGTGCGAGCGTGTTCCCTTTCTCTTTCCAGCTGTCGACGCTCAGATTCCAATATCTTTCGCTTGAATTTTTCCACGCGATTGCGCAGCTTCTCATTCTCAGCCTGCAATTGCCCCACGAGTGCTTCAAACTCCCGCTTTTCTGCGGCTACCTTTTCACCACCTTCAAATGCGTACCCATCCACATTCTCTGCCGTTGCCACGTCCGTCACCGTCTCGCCATCCGCTTCTTCCGCAACTGCGCCATTCTCCGATCCGTCCGTTGGTTCCGTAGGCGACCCACTGTCTTCATCAATGACCGAGAGACTCGATCCCAGCGACTCTCTCGATCCTTGATCCTCATCTCGAGCCTCGTCCTCATGAGTCCCGCCGTCGTCCGTCCCATTACTCACTGGCGACATCGCGTGTTGTGCCACTGAAGTGCCGCACTCGATGCAAAACTTGACTCGCAGCGGCAACTCGTTGCCACATTCAATACAAAACTTGGCCGTGCTCGTTAGCTGTCAATCCGTCCATCCATCAAACCAAAGAACCAAAAAAACAACGCCAGGTATCGTTAGAAATCCGTTATAACAATCCACGACCCTCCCCGCCCCATCCCAATCCCTATCCCATATCAAAACCCTAGAAAAATCACCAAAAAAAGGACTTACATTTGTCACATGCCGCGACGAATCCGAACTCGTGCCGAGCGCCGATCTCGACGACGACGACGACGCCGCCGAAAAGCTCCGGCGTTTCTGCCTCGACCCCGTCACCTGCAGCGTCTCGTCCGTGTCCAAACAGCTTCGGCAGTACCACTGCGGCCGCGCCCGCTCCTTCTTCTTACGGTCCACGGCCTTGCAGCCACACTCTTTACACACGGCAATGTGGCAGCAGCGGCAGTGGTGCCGCCGCCGCAAGATGTTGAACGACTTGGTGCACACGCCACACGAGGGCTCGCGCGCGAACGCGTCGTCTGTCGCCATGTTGTTCCGTCTGCTTGCAGACGAGGCGCGTGGGCGGGACGTGGCGGGAGCTGCGGCACTGCAATGGAGAGCTCCGGGCGGGCGCGCGCCGTCCATGGCGATCGAGGAGCAGCTGGGAAGAGAACGGTGACTGTGGGTTCGTGTGCACAGAGCGCGATTAAGTGTCACAGGTGGAGTATGCAGTTTGAAGAGGTTGGGGTGACACATGTCGCAGGAACATGTTCCAGTTGACAACCCATGATGACGGGACGGGGGTACGAGTGTAGAAACGGGACGGTACGGAACGTCAAGGGGTACGTTCGACTGCGGACGTGGACAGGGTTGTAATGCCAACGTAAGTCTTCCTTTTTTTATCCAGGGTATGTCGTCGATCGAAAACTTGCTCGAACGCTATGTTGCTGTACCAGCTTTGCCGAGGGACGATGTCTCGACACGTAGAGTGGTTTTTGCTCGTGCATTTGTAGGTCGTGGTCCCGCACTACGAACGCAAGGCGTCAAGTCGTTTAGCCTCACGTTGATTGTCTTCACTTATCGAGGCACACGTTGTTTCGCTAACATTGGTTGCTTGGCACGATAAGCCAAGATCGTGCCGCAGCTGCTGTACTGTAGAGCGATAAAGAGTGCAAGTTTGTACAGCGGAATGCGGATAGCTCAATGGACCACCTAAGGCTGCACCTGACCCATCGGTCGGCTGCACTGTCCAACGCGCTGAAATTACAGTTGTGCTTGGAAAAAATGGTACATTTACGTAGGGTTTGCCATGACCTTGTATATCGTAAGCTATCGGTATGATAGGACTTAAGCCATACTTTTCTAGTTGCAATAGGAGCTCAGTAGACAAATGCGTCTTCGTAGAAGCGCGCACAATGCGGTAGCGGATACCATACGAAGGTTGATGCTAACCATCGCAATCGCCACGTGCACTGAGGGAATAGAGAAGGCTCGCTCCCGGTCTCTTTTGTGAAAGGTATTTACGATCTGCTTATTGTAACGGGGTAGCCCGTTACATGGAATTGACACCAAACGGTGTCAATAGGAATATTATCTAGCTTGACAGTATTCTACCAATACTATCCGAGATGGATAATATTGAAGGAATATTCTCCCCTTCAGACAATATTCATGCGCTGCTTCAAGATCGGTTGATATAAGACATATCAATCACATATTTTACCATCCATCGCTGCTAGACGCGCGCGATGAGTGGTGAGCAGGTTGTCGTCATACGGCGACGACGTAGTTCAATATAGTTAGACAAAGTTTAAAGTTTAATTGATAGCTTAACTACATTAAATACAGTTCTCTTTTTATCTTCACTTAAATGAGTCGTTGAGTAGACTAGCTACCCCTGCACGTACTAGTGTACGTGAAGTTTCGCGGCACCCCAAGCAAAGGGTGCCCCATTACACCTGGTATCACTTTTTAGTCCTTATAACGACTACTTAGTGTCCGTCCAACATGAACATGTTGGACGTAGACGAAGACAGCTTTCACGTCACACGTGAAGGCTACTCCCATCTGAGTGACTCAGAATGGGAGTTAGTCGGCCGCATGAGTGTGCTCATGGGCTAACCCGTCATCAGTGGCATGTTGGGTTATCGAAGCAGATATCAGCAACATGCTGCTATCAACAAGTTCCTACAAGGGGAACTTGCCGTCGAAAGACAGAAGATAGCCTTGCTACAGAAGCAAGACTCTCATCAGTCGATGGGTGGGCCGACGCACATACGTCGACCCGAAACCTTGAAGATTGATATCTCAAGGTACAAGGGAACCGATGAAGGTTCCCTTTTGAGATGGTTCGTCGAGTTAGACGACGCCATCAGGGCCCGTCACATCGAGGGTGACGAGATGCAAGTCACCTTCGCCCTGTCAAATCTGACGGGACGAGCAAAGACTTCGGCCTTAGGGCTCAAGCTTCACGACCCAAACGTGTTTGAGTTGCTGGAAATCTTGAATTCTCGGCTCAAAGAGACGTTTGAGTCGCCGAGAGCCGAGTTCAGAGCACGCTCTGCACTCTTGAGGCTAAAGCAAGGTAAGCGTGACGTGCACGCTTACGCACAGCACCTACGCTACCTTGCAATTAGCGCTACGGAAAACTCTGTTGATGAGCACACGCTCATCAACGTGTTTATCTACGGCCTTGTAGATGGGCGGGTGAAGACCTACATGCTCCGAGAGGACTTCTATAAACTGGAAAAGGCGATAGCGTATGCGGAACAAGAAAACTTCAGCCCGAGACAGTCTCAGGCTAACTCGTCAAACTATCGTCCGTCGAGACGACAGGAAACTGAAAGTTCCGAGGCGATGGAACTCTGTTACATCGAGAGCGAAAACTCTCGCTCTCTGAGTCACAAGCGAACGGCAAGATGCCATCGCTGTCAGAAGATTGGACACTACGCTCATGAGTGTAGTGTCCCGAGAACTGCAACACGTCCAAATTCAGGACGTGATGACCACCGTTGGTCAAGGAAAGGTCCGCGGCGTGGGTCCGACCATGCTGCTAAGCCTCGACAGCAAGTCGGACCGTCAAAAAACGGTCAGGGTCAGTAGGGGTGGAGCACCCTGCTGATCCAGCAACGTCAAAAAAAATGTCGGACTCTTGACGAAATTTGCTCCCGACACCCAGTCTCTGTGATTACTGCCCCTAGTGGTGAGGAGTCCCTCTTCACTTTGAAGATCAAAGTGACATGTGGAATGTCACTTCGCGCTCTGATTGACTGTGGGGAGTCGAACAGTTTTACTAGACGCCAGTCGATAGAAGATAGTAGGCTTAACAATGTTGAGCGATGCCCCCTCCGAAGCATCTGACGGTTTGCCTTGCAACAGGCGCATCCATAACAGTGAACAAACGTGTAGTTGGAGTCCACTACACGCTAGAAGGAAAGCAGTACGATAATGCCTTTATCGTGTTGGATTTAAATGACAAATTTGATTTCATCCTCGGCCTGCCATGGCTTAAAAAGTATCGGCTATGGGTTGTCTGGCAGCATCGGTCCGTGAAGATGCCTGCCGTATGTTCATCGGATGACCATCTGATGAGCGTCTTGGAGCGTCCACAAGCGTTTGGATGCACTACGAGTGAGTGCGATGGCCTCACTTGTGGTACGGTCGTTAGTATGACTGCACAAGATCACAGTGTAGAAGGCCATTGCACTGTGGAACCAGCTTTCGGCACCTGTGGAGAGACACAGGCTGCGCCGAAGGTTCACCACTTGAAGAGATCGAGTGGACTGGAACACGGATGCACACCAAGAAGGGTGCATCCGAGGAGAAAGATTATTGTTGTTCAGGATGAACAACACGTTGAAGCGAGATCGACTATCAGAGAGTCGATCGAAGAGGACATGACCGTGATAAGACACGTAATGAACAAAAATTCCAGCGTTCCTGAGAGTGATAACTCCCGAGAGAGTTATGTTGAGGGTGTGGATCCCCAACCACCTGCGGATGTGTTTTCCCAGGAAATCACCGAGACAGTAAATGTCTTGGTGAATGACGGATCAAGTTTAGGCGTTTGTACACTAAATCTGATTACACCCCCGAAGTCAGCTTCGGAGGTAGTCAAGTTGCCAAAGCCAGAATCTAAAAGATTCTTGCGAGATCTGCGTAGTGACAAGATCAAGCAGATCTGCGCACTCGTCACATAAGACGAGTACGTTGCCTATACTCGGTCGGCGCTAGCGTTTGCTGAGAACAAACTAACAAACTGGTTCTCAGTAGCTTATCGATGGGCGAGAGTGTCCTCGATGAGAAGACCCGGATTGAGCGATACACGTCCCAATCTCGGGATTCTCTGAAGACAAATCCTTTGTATAAGGATTTGGTTGAATTCAGGGATGTTTTACCGGAATCCGTGCCATGCGAGCTACCTAAGGACAAAGGCACTAGGCATGAGATCGAACTGAAATCCGGTTCGAAATACTGCGTCATGAAGCAGTGGTCATTGCATCGTGAACAAGTCACAGCGATCGACAAGTTCTTTGCCAAATGCTTAGCAGCTGGTCATGTGAGGGAATCAACATCCCCACATTGCTCTCCGACCTTCTGTGCGCGAAAAGCAACAGGAGGTTGGCGGATAGTTCATGCATTTAACAAGTTGAATGCTGCAACGGTACCGGATCACACGCCGATCCCAAGAATGGATGTCATCATAGAAGGTATGGCAAGAAGTACCATCTTTTTCATCCATGGATCTGATGGATGGATTCTGTCAGATCCTCATGCGTGAACGGGAAATCCCGTACACAGCAGTGAGCACCCCCGGTGGTATGCTCTGAGAGTGGGTAGTGATGCCACATGGGCTAAGTAACGCCCCTGCAACGTTCAACAGATGTGTTACAAATATGTTGTGATCGGTGCGCGATTTCGCACCGAGTTACTTCGACTATGTCTTCGTCCATAGCCGGGCTATGGATGGAAAGACGGACGTGGAGGTTCATAGAATACACGTCCGGAAGGTCCTTACTCTAATGCGAGAGCATAAGTTGTTCGCAAACCTCAAGAAGTGTATATTCGCAGCGAACGAAATACCACTTCTTGGCTGCATCGTGGAAAAAAACGGTGTACGCCCTGATCCGGAAAAGATCAAGACGATTAGCGACTAGCCTGTGCCAGCCGAAGTCAAGGGACTTTGAAATTTCCTTGGCTTGGCGGCGTGCTTGCACAGATACTCGCGCAACTATGCCGAGATGACAGTACATCTCTCTTGTATACTTAAGAAAAACGAGAGGTGGTTATGGAGCACTGAGTGTCAGCACTCTTTTGAAGGCATCAATAAAAGCTTAGTGCAATCGCCTGTGCTGATGATTGCAGATCAGGATAGACCATTCCATGTGGTCTGTGACGCCATCGATTTTGCGATCGACTCAGACGGCGTTGAGCGCGTCGTCTGCTATCAATCGCGTCAGCTGCAAGCAGCTTAGCAAAATTATCCGGTGCATGACAAGGAACTCCTGGGCAAGAAATATGCACTGGCCAAGTTTCGGGTATATCTCATAGGACATAGGCCCTACATCGTATATACCGACCATGCGTCGTTACGCCGGCCGTAAACAGTCCACACCTCTCGCAACGAATGGTGAGGTGGCTGTCTTTCTTTTTGTAGTACGACTTCTCCGTCGAGTATAAGCCAGGACGACTTTATGTCGTCGCTGATGCTCTTTCGCGTCGGCCCGATTTCGAGCCGACTGCTCAACCCAACAGTAGGGGTGATCCCACTGTAGCGACACGAACAGTGAGTGTTCCGTCTTCAAATCTTCTCGATGACGTGCGAAAAGCATACACAGAAGATGAGTCTCTTCTGCGACGGATTGATTATGTATCCAATCCGTGTAATCAAGCTGTGAAAAGCTTGTCGTCTCAATGCCTCTCTTACACCGAACGGTATTCTGTTCGTTATGGACTGCTGTAATATACAGCATTCAACGGCGACACACCTCGTGTCTTTGTTCCGGCTCATAATGATTTGCGATTGCGCATCATGTATGAGTGCCACGATTCCCCAACAGGTGGGCATCGCGGTAGAGAAAAGACTTACCTCATGGTGAGTCGTGACTTCTACTGGCCCCGCCAGTATGAATTTGTGCGGATATACATTCGCGCTTGCGAAGTTTGTCAACGGGTGAAGCCTAGTCCTTCATCCCACGCACCCTTGCAGCCTCTTCCGATTCCGGCAGAGTGCTGGCAGTCCGGATCGATGGACATCGTCTTTGGGTTTCCCAAAGTTATTCACAAGAACAATGGTATTCTTGTGTCTGTTGATCGGTTCACCAAGATGATACATCTTGTTGGCGTATCGGAGTCAATCACAGCCCATGGCTGTGCGCGTGTCTCCATTGATACTATCTTTCGACTTCACGGGTTACCCCACGAACTCGTGTCCGATATGGACCCCCGCTTTACGGAGGAGTTCGGGCAATCCGTGTTCCGTTCACTTGGAACACGTTTGACGATGTCAACTTCTGGCCATCCAGAAACAGATGATCATACATAACGGGTCAACCGCGTCTTCAAAGAGATACCTCGAGGGTAGGTCCAATCGTTTACGAGCTGGAGTGAGTTCTTGCCGATGGCGGAATTCGCCATCAACAACTCGGTGCATGCGTTGACAACGCATGCACTCTTCTTCGTGAATGGCATAAGCCATCCACGCTTACCCTTCTTCTTAGAGTGTGACTCTAGTTTTAGGGGGTGAACTCGCGCGAACAAAAACCGATTTGGTTCTTGCTCATCACCCGTCGACAATGGTGTCGACGTGATGGATGCCGACATCGATGCGATCGATATCGATGATGGTGATGACGACGATGCTAGTATGTTCAGCATCGCCAATGACTGCCAAAGTGAGGACGATGACACCCTCACTGGTGAAGACAACGTTCTTTCAGCAGTGCACACGAAGCGCACTGCTGTTGACAAGGATGAATTAGCAGAGGAATCTCTTCTGTTTCGCGAAGCGGTCGTCCGCTTCGTTCAAGACTCTTTTGCAGATGCATCAGACAGACAGAAGAGAAACGCAGACAAACAGGGAAGAGCAAATGCTCTTGTTTTACTGTCTACAATAAACCTACCGAAACACGCAGTGACAAACGTGGGCAGCAGTATATTACCGCCCAGGTACATCGATCCATTTTGTTTTGCGCCGAATGGGCAACGCATACAAGATTGAACTGCCCCGTAAGATGCGTACGCATTCTACGTTTTACGTTGGACGTCTCCGCCCGTACTATCAGTACGAGCCCGTTTCGAGAGGCGAAGAACACCTCCGCGGTCGAGAGCCGAGACCACCTTCGAGTGGTCCCATTTTAACAAGCCAGTCTGGTCGACTAGCGAAGCGACCTGCTCACGCAGTTGAGCGATGTCTCGACGAGCTACAGAAAGATCGTCACGAAAAGAACGATTAGAACGTTCGTGCGCTAAGGAATTGTAAGTACTTCTTACAAGATTGTGGAGCCCATAACGCTGAGTCCCATAATGACCTAGTTCATCGTGTAACTGTTTCGTTACACGATTCAGCTTTTGAACATCAAGCTGATCTTAAACTCGAGCCGGATCAGGTGTTCCCACCGCCACCACATCCTTTGGTGGACTTAAGCTGTGTTCAACGCTTCCTAGTGGAGCGTATTTTGAACCACAGCGACGTGAATGGCTTCCGGACGAGTTACCTCGTCCGCCGGCGTGGCTTTCCACCGGCTTGGGACATCTGGGGTCCTTGGTCTCATCGATCAGTACGAAGAGACCCACCCGCTGCGTTTGAAGAAGGGCCGTCGGAAAATAACCTCCCCGAACGCGAGTACAGGGATTGCATGATGTCAATCTCTTCGGCCCTTTCAGAAGATATGCGCGACCTCCAGTAGATATTGCTAGGGAGGAAGGCCTTATTACGGGCATGATTCGAGTTGTCCAGGAAACTTGGACACGAATCACCCCACGAAAGACAGGGTAATCCTGCCTCTCTTGACAGTCGGTGCAACTTGTACCGTACACCGACTGGGTTGCGTTTCTCAAACCTGATGCGAGCTGCATTAAGCTTACCGAACCAGGCCTCACGG